GTGTGTGTGTGTGTGTGTGTGTGTCTCTCTCTCTCTCTCTCTCTCTCTCTCTGCCCATCCCCCAGTCACGCTCTCTCTAAAATGAATAAACCTTAACATTTTTTTTAAATAAAAAAATAAAATGTAACTATGTTCCTATTTTTACATAAACAGGGTCTCATTCTGCACACTGTTCAGTAACGTTTATCCGATTCCTAAACTTTATTGGTTCCTCGTGCCCTTGGTGTCTCAGTAATTTTCACAGCACTCCCTGGGCCAAGAGAGATCCACTTACTAAGTACCTAAATCCAAACAACTCACTAAACATCTATATCCTACCGACTCAATAGCCATTTGAAACAATACACATAAATTGAGAAAAAGATTCCAATATTTTAGAAAGAAAAATATTTTTATTTCCTAGATGACCACAATTACTTACGACACCTGTTGGGCACGGTACTACTTGGCAGATCTTGGAACCAGATTGGTCAGCACCACCCCGATTTCTTGCTCTAGACTGATTTTTTTCCCCCTGTATCTATTAGCAGCTGCTGAAAACCCAGCTTCCCAAAGATATGACGTCACTGAAAGGGATCTGGCGCCATCTAACGCTGAAAGGCAGCTACCAGGAGCTCCAAATTCCCAAGACATCAGACACATGGAGCTGAGCTCTGGCGCTTCTCCTGAAAATTTAAAACCCCTCACTGGGCCCCTGAGAGTTCGCCGAGGTGGCTCAGCACAGTTTGGGGAACAGGGAACTCAGCCTAACGGGAAGATCTTTTCTCTTCTAGGAATACACGCCCGGAGTTACTCCCTAAGATTCCTATCAGTAAATATCTAGGCAATTTATAATTTCAAACAATATCCTTGTCAAACGACGTTGTGATAAAAATCCTCCCACACATATCTTTGTGAACTTGGCAATTATTTCATTCTCTCATTCATTTAACGGGCTCTAATTACACACCAGGATTATGTGCTGGGCACAATTTGAGAGGCTGACGTTACGGAGGTGAATACAAGGTCCCTCACAAAATTTATATCCTCCTGAGGGAGTGAGGAACAGAAAAACTAATCCTTTCAGGTTGTGACAGGCTATGAGGTAAAATAAGGTCAAGACCAAGGGTTAGAGGGGTGCCTGGCTGGCTCAGTCGGTGGAGCACATAACTCTTGATCTCGGGGTTGTAAATTCGGGCCCCACATTGGGTGTCGAGATTATTTAAAAATAAAAAAAAATGAGAAAGCCAAGAGCCAGGGGTTAGAGAACGCACAGGTCAGGAAAGCACCCCGTAACAATAGGCTATCTGAGCTGAGAACACACGGACAGAAAGGCAGAAGCCTGGGGAGCTGCGGGCAATGCCCTAAGCAGCAGGAGCGGTGAATAATAAAGTCCCCGAGGCAGGAATGAACTCATACTGTTGGAAGAATGGGCACAAGGGTGTGGTTAAAGAGCGAAAGAGGAGTCTGGCGAGGAGCTGGAGAGGCAGGCAGGGGGCAGGTAATGCAGGACCCCGCGGGTCAGAGTAAGCCGCTCGGACCCTTCGGAGAGGACTGGGCGCAGGGAAGAGCCCGGGGAAAAAAGAGCTCTCTAGCCGCTCTGCGCACCGCAGAGGGAACAGCTAGCAGCCGGGGCTACTGCCCGGAAAGACGAGGGCGGCGCGGACCCTGCCGGTCCAGATGGAGATGGTCACAAATGGCTGGATTCCAGGCCTATTTTGAAAGGCAGAGCCGACAGACTGGCAGATGGACCAAGTGGAAGTTGTGAGAAGGCGAGGAATCAAAGACGGCTTTTGGGTGTCTGGCCCGAGGAAGTGGGTGAATGGTAGAGGCGCTTGGCGAACCGGGCAAGACCCGGGGAGGGGCACGCTCAAGAGGAGAAATTAAAGCGGTTTTCATTTCAGGATACGTTTTTAGAAGCGGTAGGGCCGGAGCAAGGTCTGTGCATATTAAACAACATCAACTTGTCAGACGGTCCTCCAAAAAGGCGACACCAGTTTATTAGCCTCCTACCAACAGCGGCTAAGCGTGCTCACTTCCCAGGATTCGGGCCAGCAGAGAACAAGCAGATAAAGAAAAAACACTTCATCTAAATTTGCATGTTTTTATTAGTAAGCTGAATATTTTTTATTGGCCACTTGCACTACTTCTGTGAACCGTCTGTATCCTTTTTCTGCTTGCCTAACAGGTGTGTGCTTTCCTTACTGGTTTATAAACGTTCCTCGTGTATTAAGAAATCTGACCTGGTCTATCACCGTGCAAATACTGTTTCCCAATCTGCTTTTCAGCTGTCCCCGGTGCCTCCGATAAAGAGAAGCACCTCTTATTTTCAAGTAGTGAAACGTGCCCGGCTCTTCCCTGTACATAAAATGCTTAGCTCAGTGCCTATCATGTGCCCCGCCTATAATTCATTCATTCCTATTGAGGGGTTCTGTCCCCGGAATCGGCCCCCACAAGGCTTCTGTATGTCTCTAGGGCTTCCTAGTTTATCTTTCTAGACTTAAACCTTAACTCCACCTGGAATTTCTTTGGAATGGTGCGTTTACGAGGTCCTGACTCCTGACACAACTTTCAATTCACGTGGCTGAGCCCTGTCCTCCAGCAAAACGATCTCCATCCACAAACACAGCCATTCAACTCCATTCTCTCCAGCCCACTGGCTCCCTCCAGTTCCCTCCACAAAGGAGTCCAAGTCACCAACAGTTCTCCCCCAGAACTCCCCTCCTCCCTGATCTCTCCTGCTTCCCTTCTTAGCCCTCCTCTTCCTCGGCAATGGGTTCTTCACAGGGCAACCGAAGTAGGAGTAGTCCGTTTTGGTTTTTTTGTTTTGTTTTGTTTTTTAACGTAAACTTGATGTCCCTCTCCTACTTCTAACTCTCCAATGGCTTCCTATGAAAAATAGAATTAAACCCCAGGATTCCTTACCATGATTTCCAACATCTCACCTGGCCTGCCCGGTCTCATGCTTCTCCAGCCCATTTCCACAACTGTCCTCACTGGCTGAACCCCAGTCACACACGCACAATTCTTTGAAGCCCCTGGGGCCACACCAAATTCATGCCTCCCTCAGGCCCTTTGCACCTGCTGTTTCCTCTGTCTGAAGAGCTCTTGGCCCCCAATTTGTGGCCTAGACTACTGGCTGCTTCTCCTCATCCAGGTAATGTCACCTCCCCAGGCAGGGCCTGTGGACCCTGACACTACCCCATCTACAGGAACTTCACACCTCGTGGCAGCACGCACCGCTTCACTCCATTCAAAGTACTCGCCATTAACGGAATACCCTCGTTCATTCATTTATGTGTTTAGTGTCCGCTCTGCGTCTATCCCACGACAGGCGTTCAATTCATACTTGCAGAAGGGGAGAGGAGAAAAAAGATCTGGGGTCCGGCTTCGTATCCAAACTTGAAAAGCCTCCCCCCCCCCCCGAAGTCCTTCTGCATCTACTCCCTCCCGGCTGCGACCAGTCCGCCCCCGCGGCCCGTGCTCCAGGCCCGTCCCCTAGGCCACCGTGGAGCCCCGCCCGCGGCGCGGCAGAACGCAGAGGGAGGGCAGGCCGCTTACCAGTTCATCCGGACTGAGGACTCCGAACTGCACTCGCTTGATGGTGCGCAGCGGGCATGCGCTGTCCCCGGAGGGGGGGCCACCCCCGTGCATCGCGGAGGCGGGCGCGCTGCGCAGGCGCAAACCTCTCTACAAAAACCCTGCGCCGCCTCCGCCTAGGTGCTCAGACCCCGTCGGGGCGGCCACCGGGAAGGACCTCCCCGAGTTGGGAGGAAAAAGCCGGAGGAGGGAAAGGTGGGGGAGGGAAGAAGGCGGGGAAGTGAAAAGGAGCGAAAAGAGCTCTCCTCCCCCTTTCCGGAGATTTTTCGTCTCCCAAAAAGGAAAAAAAAGAGGGAGGGGGAAAGGAAAAGGTTTCGGGGGGAGGAAGAAGAAAAAGGGTAACGAATAAATAAGTAACCAGGCTCCTGAACGGCAGAGGTTACGGCAGTTTGTCTCTCCCCCTTCCGGGAGCCGCCTTCTTCTCCAACCGTCCCGGCCGCGCTCTCGGCGCTTCTGAGGAGCGAACTGGCCGAATGACGCCCTTTATAGATTCGCCCCTGCATCTCCGCCCCTTCCTTTCCCGCCCTCCCTTGCGCTACGGGGTCGCCTGCGCCGGCCTGCACGGAGCGCGCGCTCGAGTCGTTGGTCCTCCCTCCCCGGCACCCGGGTTGGGCGGCCTTTTGAAGCGACAAGGGGGAGGGGGACTTTTTTTTTTTTTTACCCCGCCGCCTCCCCTTTCTGCTTCCTTCCCGGCCGAGATTTAAGGTGTGAAGGATCTAGGGGAAATATAGGCCGCTTTTATTCTAGTTTGGACTGTGCTTTCGTCTTCAGCAAAAGTCTCCCCCCCCCTCCCGCTGGAAAATGGTCTGTTCGGCGAATCGGTAATGAAGGAGGCGGGGCCAGTCGCGTCCTCCCAAGAGGGTTCCTGGAGGGGGGGGGGGGGGGGCGGCGGGGAGAGCGCTGGGACCGTCCTTGGTCATGAATATGCAGTAACCACGCTGAATATGCATGAATCGATCAAGATGGCGAAGCCAATCGCCTGTCCGGAAGTAGCTGATGTTTGTGGAGCGGCCTCCTGGGACGGGTGGGCACCTCCGGGCCTCAAATGGAGAGCCGCCCGGAACTCGGGTCCTGGGTCACCCCCCCCCCCCCCCCCCAGCTCTGAGCCGCTCGAAGAGGCCTGGACTCTGGGCTCGGGGAGCCTTCTCCGGAAGGAGGCTGGCCACTGTCCGGGAGAGATCACGGGACCGCCACAATCCAGGAAAAGCAGATTAGCCACGGGGCGGGACACAGAAGTCCTGCGGGATTCGGGGTCAAGGCATCTGAACGTTAGGACATCCTCCCCCTTCCAGAATATTTCAGAAATAAGACTGGCGGGGGGAGGGGGGGAGAGGGGGCAAGGATCCCAAGGGATTCTCCAATGAGAGCCGAGTAGGGCTCTCGCTCTCCTTCCAAAGCAGAGATGACACCAACGGCACAGCCACATTCAGAGCGATCCTTGTTTGATGTCAATGTCACGTCACCACCCCGGGGGTGGGGGGAGCATAACCATGAGGAAAGGAAACTGTCTCTCAGGGAAAAAGGCACACTCCCTCACGCCGGCCGCTGGCTCTGTCCGCTGGCCTGAAAGCCCCAAACAGCCCAGCCCCAGTGCTCTTCTGTCTGCTACTGAGGGGAAAATCCTCCCCGTGGTTCACGGCCGGCCTGCCTCACCCCTTTGATGTGCTCCTCAGACCTTACTTACTCCACAGTCACGTCCTGATCCCCAAGCCCCAGCCTAGATCTCTTGATCCCCACGCTCGTCCCAGCTCTTCCAGACAGTCCCTTCTCCACTGAGTCCCCAGGTCACCCTTGACTCCCAAGGGGTGCCCCTCTCCCATCTTCAGTTCTTTCCCGGTCACGTGCCCTCCCCTGCTTGCCTGCCAGTCTCTCCTTCTCCTTCTATTTCCCCCGGCCCCCCCCCACCCCCAACCCCCAGGCTCTCAAGTTCGATGTCACTCCTCCACCTGCCCTTCCTTCTCACAGCTGAGGTTCTGGGCGGTGATGATGGCAATGCTACCCAACACCACCCCTGCCCCCATGATGTCAGAAGGTGCCACTGTCTCATAGAGCACGTAGTACTGCAGTATCAGGGCCACCACCACCTCGGAGTGCAGGACGGCGCACACCAGGGCGGGGTGGACCTTGGTGACCGCGTAGCTCACGCACACAAAGGAGACCAGGGCCAGGATCCCCACCGCCCCCACGCAGCTCCAGCTCAGAGGGTCGTTGGGCAGCACAGGGGTCTGCAGTACAAAGAGGCCTGGCACAGAGCCCACCAGCCCCACCAAGCCAAACAGGAAGGCCACCGTCGGGAGGCAAGAGGGGAAGTCCAGAGAGCGGTATACCAGCAGCCCCAGCGACAGCGCCAGGCCACCCAGGAAGGCGAGCACGTAGCCCAGGGCGGTGTAGAGGCCCGTGGTCCCCTCCTGCAGCGTCCCTAGTCCCGGTCCCACAATGATGATGAGTCCCAGGGTGCTGCCCAACAGGCCACACCAGTCGTAGCCGCTGAGACCCTGGCTCTCGAGGCAGAGGGCGAGGAGGGCAGAGCACATTGTGGAAGAGCCCTTGCGGACCGTGGCAGCGTTGCCGGCCGGCACCACCTGAACCGCACTGTAGGCGCATCCGATGCTGAGGACGTTGAGCAGGGCGTGGAGGCAGGCCCGGGCCCGGACGTCGGGAGGTCCCAACAGAGGGTCGCCGCGCAGTTTAAGTAGTAGCGCAATGGGGAGGTGGAAGAGACATCGACAGATGAGCAGCTCCAGCGAGGGGAAGTGGGAAGCCTGGTAAGCCATACGAGAGAAGGGGCCCACGAAGCCAGCGGGCAGGCCCCCACCCAGCAGGGCCACAAGCAGGCCCTTGGTGGCATCGGAGGGCCGGCAGCGCTGGTGCGAGGGGAGGCTGGGAGGAGTGGAGGGCGGCGATGGCTGGGTGAAGTCGGGCAGGTTGAAGTAGGGGTGACTGCCGGCCTGTTAGGGAGAAAGGAGCTCGGGCATTAGGGCAGCCATAGCCCAGGGGACCAGGGGGCAGGGCGAACGCCAGGCTGGGCTGTGGGACCCGTCTCTCGGGACAGTAGAGGGGCGGGCCGTCTCGCTGAGGAGCTCTTGGGAGCTAGAAAGGGCCTGAACGTGGATGAGGTGATACAGCGTGGGCCTTGGGCCTCTAAAGCAGGAAGCAGGGGGTGAGCGGTCCAGGGGCATCGTGTTTCTCTGGGTAAATTCCTGGGAGAAGAAAAGGAGGACCCGGGGGGGGGGGGGCCCTGTTGGTCTGGGGAAGGGGAGGCAGCCTCAGATGCCGTGCGTCTGTGTGATGTCACAGGTTCCAGGGACATCTGGGTACACCATTGTGAGTTTCATTTGGGGGTGTCTCTAGCACAGCTGGGAAGTTTGGGGGGAAGAGACCAAAGGGAGCAGCCAGGAGCTACAGGGAAGGGGGCTCTGTCTCCCTGACCCCCGCACTCACCATCTTTCCTCGGACCTCCTCCTCTATGCCTGGCTCAGGGGGCCTGGGCCCTTCGGAGCTCCAGCCCTTGTGACCTGGATGGAGTGGGAGCGGGGTTCTTCTCTGGAACCTTCCTGAGGTGGGGGCGGGAGGTTCTCCCCTGGAACCTTCCTGAGGCAGGGGTGGGGGTGGGGTAGGGGTGGGTGGGGGTGGGCCTAGTTTCTCTCGTGATTTCCAGCCCTGCTTGCTTTGTGTCTGTCTCTGCGCTTCCGAAGTGGGTCTCCTTCTCTTTTTCTCTGGAGGAGTAGCTCTGTGATGAGACTTGTTTGGTTTTAAATGAACTCGTTTATGTCTCACCTTGTTTCCAAAGAAAGGTTTTGCGGGAGGGAGCTGAGGGCCGACCGCTCTGTCTCCCCCTGAGTTGTGGATTTTTGAACACCAGGGAGGAGTCTCTGGGACTGTCCCTCTGGAGTTTCAGGAATGTGTTTCTTGTGTGTGCTTTTCACCTGGTGTTTTGTCGGTGCCGCCCCGGGAGGCGCACACCAGGGCCTCTGCATTTACGCAGAAGTATATAGATGTGGATATTTCTGCCGGTGGGGACAAAATACCAAGCTGCGTGGTCATCTGCACTGGTAGTCATTTACGTGTGTCTGCTCCTTAGGGCTGGGGCCTGCCCGGGCCGCGGCCTGGTGGGGGTCCCTGCGCGTTTCTGGGAAGGGTGGGTGGGCACGTGCGTGTGTCCGGGGCTGCCCCTGTGCGTGTGCTGAGGCCGGGTCTGAGGGACCCACCCGGCCGGATCGCGAGCCTGCCATGTTGTGTGTCCGCGGAGAGGGTGTGCGTGCTCCGGGCGCTGTGCCCCGCCGAGTGAAGGGCGTGCAGGGGGCGGGAGGGAGGGGGGCGTCCCTCGCTAGGCAGCGGGTGGTCGTGCGGCCCGGCGGGGGTGCCGCAGCCAGCCCCGCGCCCGCTCGGTGCCCGCCCGTCCGG